ATACTATGTATAAAAACTAATTTAATATTCAATTTAGTCTTAAATATAAAATTTTAATATATTTTATCTCTTATATTATTTATTTTTAAAATAATTCTCATAATAGTTGTATATGCTAGATGTTTCATCAAATGTTATATTTTAGATAATATACAAAATTAGTAAGAATATTTTAAGAAAGACAAAACTTAATTATTATAAATAACTAATTTAATTAATTTTTTTATTTTAGTTCGAATTAGTCAATTAGTTTTTATGTTAACAACTGAAGGTGTTATTATTTACAGGGCAATGACAAGTTACCCCAATGTCAACACTTCCGTATGTGGGAGGAGTTCTAAATTTGAATCTGGTGTTAAGATGTTTTTGTGTGCATGTGTGTAGAGCATATAAATTTATGAGGCAAAAAAAACATATAAATTTGAAATGAATTTATTTGGTAAAAAATATTTCAAAAGAAGGAGCAAAACAAGCACGAGGTTTTATCAGAAAAAAATATATAAGCACGAGCTAGAAATGTGAATCCGATCTCCACTTTCCACTCCTTGGACACAAAGGAAGAAAAATAAAAATAAAGGAGAGGAACAAAATGAGGGGGGAAAAGCCATTGACGAAAACAAAAATATCCCCCCCCCCCCCGCGGCGCTAGTATATATAAAAGAATTCAGGAAGTCTCCTCCTAATACCAAATATATCTTATTGATTAAAAAAATTTTCTTATACACTTCATTAAATTAAATTTATTAAACATACTTTGTAACTTATATCTATGAAAAATAAATACTTTTAATTAATTTATGAATTAGTTATTTATTTCTTACATACAAATGCAAAAAAAAAAAAAATGAAAACTCCTACATGGGGGGAAAAAGGAGAGGGGAGTTTAGTTTAACGGATGCGGTTGGATCTCAGGTTTAACAACAACAAAAAAAAGAAGGATGTGGTTGGATTAGTTGGCTTACACGCAACCCATGTTTCTCCACTCCCCTTTGTCCACCTCCTCTCTCTTACCATTGTTCTTCTTCCTTTAATGCTCAACCCATCACTTATCGACACCTCAATGCCTCCTTTTCCATTTATTTATAAATATAATTAAACCATCATGCTTAATTACACCACATCCGGTTTCAAAATTGTTTTTGGTAAGCACATATATTTTTATTGGAGGCAATCTAATCAATCTTATTTGAGATATTATCAGGTATTAAATATAAAAATTTTTCTCAAAAAAGATTTAATATTGATTTGTCACCTTTTGATAGATTGATTACTTTTACTAAGCCTAATCCATTAATTAATTCAGAATTCATATTTTATTTCTTTTCAGACTTCTTTGTAAGGCGTGTGGAAATGACAAATGAGGACGTGTCCATGGGATAAAAATAATATAAAATATTTTTGTTTCACTTATAAATGATAAGTTACTACATCTACCTTATTCTTAATATAAGAACTAATTTAACATTCAGTTTAGTCCTAAATATAAGACTCTAATTTAATATGTCTCTTATATTTATCTATGTTTTTAGTATAGTTTTTGTAATAATTGTACATATTAAAAATTTTATCACATGATAGTTTTTGCTAATAAAAGTATTTTAAGAAAGACAACACCTATTTATTACAAATAACTAACTTAATTAGTTTTTTTAATCTATTCAAATTAGCTAACCAGTTCTTAGATTAAATATTGAGGGAAAATAGTATAATTGGTATTATTTAAAATGATTGCTCATCCTTTTCCGGCCGAAAGAAAATTGTTCATCTTTTTTTATAGTCATACTAGCTTGATCTTTGAGAACATTTTTAGGTCGTACATATTTTAAGAAGCACTAATGATAAATTTAAAACCACCACAAATGGACTAACCTTCACGATTGATTATCATTTAACTTTTCAGGGCCCCTTTTTTTAAAAAATATGTTACTATATTAAGGTCAACCTAACATTTTTCCCCCCCAAAATCTTTTATATTTTAGCCTATCTAAACTAATTAACCAAAGATCTTACTGGCCCAACAAAAGAAAGCTAACTGGACAAACCCGTTCCTTCGGCATTTCGAACGCCGATGCGCCGATGCACCAGTCTCTTAAAATTAAATTATATACACTACTCGCCTTAAAAAATACCATATGGTACAGAGTCCATGAATAGAAAATTGTAATTTTTTTGTCCTTATTTGATTTACATGGATCATACTCCAATCATTTAAAACGTATGAGACAGTACATAATTTGGAAGATTACCAATTTGAAACATGAAAATTTGAAGGAAAAAAAAATCCAAATATCATCCCCCTAATTAGTCAAATCTAAGAAAGAAAAATTCTAGGATTACATTAAGAAAAAAAATACCAGTTTCTTTTTTTCAATTTATGGAAGGAATCCAACATTATCTCTGGGCCGTTGGTGGTGGCTAGTCGAGCTATTAGCATAATCATTATTAGCTGTAGTGGCATTATCATCATGTCTGGACTTGAGCTCTGGTTCACTACCGCTAGTTCCGGTAGCTTCACCGCCGCGAACCGCCGGGTAAAGGCCGCACCTACGGCACCTCGGAGGCAGAACAAGAATCTGCCGACACGAGGGGCACGAAGAGTGGGACCCAAGCCAGGTGTCTATGCACGCCGCGTGGAAGCCGTGGCCACACTGCGGAAGAACTCGGATCTCGTCAGCTCCGACGAATTCGGCCAAGCAAATCGCGCACTCCGACGCGGCCAACCACTTCTCAGAATTGCTGTCAATGTAAGTGAATTTCGGCATGGATTGGAGCACCTTCTTCTTGAGACCTTTGTTGGCCAGAGACTGTCCCGGAGCTCCACCGCCGGCTCCGGATCCACCGCGACGGAACCAGGTGCATCGGCAGACAGCTATGAGGGCCACGGTGCATATGAGAGCGCAGAGCAGAGACGCGAGGATGACCACGAAGTCTGATTCCAAAGCGACGGCCTCCGGAGGCGGCGCTGCTGCGGTGATGGTGGCAGCGGCGGCGACGGAGGTGGAGTTCTCAGTGGATTTGAGAATACGAGTCATGGGAAGGGCGTGAAAGGGTAAAGTGGCAATTGCCGAATTGCGAGGTTTGCTGTAAGAAGGACACAAGGGAGAGAGAAGTGGGTATTTATAATTGGGGATAAGAGACGATAGTGGCATAGAGGATGATTACCTCTCGTCCTCAAGTAAACAAAATGCTTGACTTATAAACCCCACAGCCACTCAACGGCCAACGTCTGGTTTCAGTGCAACTACACTGCTAATTCCTCTTCCCACTTTTGACTTGTCTGCCTTCTTAATACTTATTCGGCGCACATCGTTACTTTTTTTTTTAATATTACCTTCTCTTTTAATTATAAAAACTAATTGACTAATTTTAAAAAATTAAAAAAATAAATTAAATTAGTTATTTATAATAAATAAATATTTAAATTAATTATTTATAATAAATACGTATTTTTTTCAAAAAATATCCTTGTTAATCAAAGGTGTTGGTAAGAACTATCATTATTAGAAAGATAATTTGAGAAAAAAATACATAAATATTAGAAACAAAGTGGATTGAGGTTTTATATTTATGACCAAAATAAAAGTCAAATGAGATCTTATATTAAGGATCGGAAGTAGTATTATTTATAAGTTTTAAATTTTTAAAACAATATAATTTGTTTTATAAATTTTTATTTGAATTTGACTTAATATTTAGTTTTTTATTTTTTTAATTATTTCTTTCTTGACGCATTTTCTTACAAATTTTTTTAATCTTTTTTCTTATTTATTATAAAGGCCTATTTAAAAATAAAAATTTACTTCTAACATATTTACTATTATTTTAAACTAATTTTAACTAATTATTTGCTATCTATGAATTAGTTATTTTAAAATTATAATAAGGATAGGAAGAAGTATAAATTAATTTGTGGAAAAATTTTGTTCTTAAATATAAATTATTTATTTAATTTTGTGGGAAAGAGAAAAAGGGAAAGAAATGCGAGAATGATTTATAAATATAGGGAGAGAAAAAACTTTAGCGTGAATAAATTTAAAATTTTTTATCAGTTCAACATATCACTTGCTACTTAGTATGTGAACATACTTTTTACAAGACACTTTGAAAAAGCCATAAATAATTCTTATGAACTTATCGAGATATTAATCAAGTTTTTCTTAAATATTACTCTTATTTTTATTAAGTATGGGAGAGAATATAATGCAAATATAAAAAATTTTTATTTGAATCTTAGTAAAATTAGAAAATTCATTATATTTTCAAACAAAGTTAATAGTTTAGTCACCCCTCCTCCGATTCAATGAAACTTTACAATAGTTTTTTTTTTTTTGGGGCCAGAGGTTTATATTAGGGATCACGGGAAGTGAGTTAGCTAATGATTTTTAAAACTGTCCAATCTTTTTATATTTGTCCTTATTTACTAGTTGTCTCATTTAGAATATAGTATTAATTACACCCTAATTTTGAACATCTTTTAAAAAGTGTTCTTAATTATATCTTAAAAGAACGAAAATACCTTATATTTTTCTAACACGATACTTAGCAAAAAAATGCCGCATAATTTAAAAAAGAGAGAGTGTTGCCCCTAAGACTCAAAGGCGTATTTTTATAATTAAATTATTTTTGGCAGGAAATGGTGTTATTTTGAAGGAACGAAAGGTCAAAATACACTGGCCTCTAATTAGCAGAGGTTGAAGTGGATAAAAATTTTCCGACGTGGTGTGGATATTTGATTTTGGTTTTTAGTTACTACATTTAATCAATTAATACATCAATCAATTGTAAAGCAGTACTCTGATTTCAGATCACATGTTTTGGCCTGTTAATGGGCAAAATGACAAAACTAAAATAAAGGCAATCTATAAAAACTATATTGACCCTATAATTTATTATTCTTTTGGCTGTTTTTTTTAAAAATACATATATTAAATAAAAATAAAGTAATTAAATTGTAAGATAGAGTTAGTGAAGTTTATTAAGGTTCTCTCAATTCTGATAAAATGAGTTAAAAATGTCTTGTAAATAGGATGAGCCAAGTATTTAAAACTAAAATAAGCTGACACTGATTTTAATATTTAATTTCTGAGATGCGTGTCTGTCTATAACCAAAAATGGAAAAAAATAAAAAATTCCAAGGATATGCATACAAGTGGAAAACTTTCCTAGATTACTGAATGATATATGACTGATAATACTAGCCATGCGATTGATGTTTGGATTCTGCAGTTTCTGGCATATGTTGGTCATCTTCATGCTCCACTCTCACACTAAAACTGGTTTTGAATGATATAGGCGAAGTAGAGAGAGGGTCTGATTCAATATCTGAGTTATCTTCTTGTTGTTGGCTCTCATAGGGGGAGTGGCCAGTTGTTTTGAAACGACGTAGTTTGGTTGCAGAAGAGGGCAGTGATCCTGATGAAGCATTGGATTGGTTGTTACTAGGAGACTTGTTTCCTGCCTGCTTCTTTTTCACAGCCATTCGCCAGTTCTTTAACGCCTTTGATGTTTGCTCATCAAATATGGACGTCTTCATCGTTGATCCCATCTGCAAAAACGCAGCGTTTCCCATTATATATTTAATTAATTAACAAAAATGATCATCTCAATAATTATTTAAATAATTAATAAATGGAAGATATGTACGTACCTGGGTTACAAGAGCGTATAATGGAAGTGTAATGTAGCTGCAGAGACAGAGAACTGCAGTCCTGCAAAAATCCATTCAGAATAGGTTGTTAGAAGTTGGTCTCCCAATCCCAACTTACACCAAAACCAATGTTGAGGTGTTCGCGCCTTGTAGCCCAACTAACACCAACTATCTTCTTCAAGATTTTTTTAAACATAAGATTGTGAGTTCGAATCTTTGATAGGGGTATGATATATATGTGAGTAATTGTTTAAAAAAAAGAAAGAAACAAGATTTGGACATGGTTTCATGATTAAAATCTATTTTGAGTTTTTTTTTTTAATTGTTTGGCTAGCATGTGGTTGATACCTTAATTTAGACCAGAAAGTGATTTTAGAAAGCTCTCCCAACAGTCTAGTGTTTGTGTATGGCTATGGCAAGTCCACAACAGTTTTAGTTAATTCTGGGTGGAGTCAGCTACCCTTTCTCTATCTCACTAGTCACTCTAGTCTCTATGTATGATATAGGATATTTTTTTTTTTTTTAAGAAGCCATGCTTTTAATAAATAATCAACAATATAATTCATCTTAAGCTGGTCAAAAATAAAAAATCATCTTAAATTCCACGCAAACATAATGTCACAATCTATTCATTAAGAGCATTTAAATCCTATTTAAGAGGGGTCACATCATTGCTGAGAAAGGCTTACCCTAATGCGACTTTCACAATGGCAAGCTTGTAGTCCATATGGAAACAATTTTTTAGCCCAAAAGAATACTGCAAATACAGGGGCATTACCGTAATTTTAGGAAGGCAGCACAAAGACATGTGAATTAGTTATTCAATAATAAGTGAAGGAAGAAAATAGCTCATTACCCATATCCACAAGAAATAAGTTATTTGAAAAGCATTCTGCAGAATAAGAAAATCTGTGAGTTTCCACCTTTAATCACCAGAGAAAAGCTAGAAGGCTAAGAAGAAAGAGTTAAAGACCTGGAAGAGAGCGAAATGGATAAGATGAAGAACTAACTGAGGGCGACCAAACCAGAAGTATTTGTCTGAGCCTTGAACAAGAGGAATTCCTTGTACAACCGCATGTTTTTCTGTGATTTCTAGAGCCATTTTTGCCAGAATTGCTTGAAGTTTTGTTCCAACCGCCATTATTATCTGCCATCAAATTTTACCTCTTTTTACTTCAACAAATCAACCACTCATTATTATTCTTCTTTTCACAGACTAATTAATTGCTACTTACAGCCAAAGGAAGTATGGATGCCCAAACCATTGTGTGCCATCCTGCATATTACATTCAACAACCCAACCATCATACATTAGTTGTCATTTCAAACAGACTTACCAAGAAAACACAATTTGAATCCTTGTTTATCTCGAAGTTGGTCTGCTGACTGGATCCATCTGTTATTACTATATATATGGGTTGAGCCACTAGTTCAATGGCTTCACTCTTACTCCTTAAAATAGGAGATTGTGAGTTCGATCTCGCCCGGTGCATGTGTTGGAATCAAGTCATCAGACCAAATTTTGGAGAAAAGAGGGCAATACAGTGTTTTTGAACAAGAGAAGATCTCTTATCCTAAATAAGTAGTTCGCTTACCGTCAACATTTAGCAACAAGAAAACCACAAATGATGCCCACAGGACAGGACTGTCAAAAACACAGAGAAATATGGCAATTAAACAGAGAAAGCATTCGAGTTTTCAAAGGAAAAAAAAATGCATAGTTGGAAGAACCAAACATGATAACTAAACACTGCAAATTACCTTACTCCCACAACTACCTTGAAGTCATCTTCTAAGGATCTTTTTATATACTTTTGGAAGTTGAATTGACTGCCAGGAGCAAGATGGACCTATACATAATAATACATCATTGGATTGTCAAAAATATGGTAGCTAGTTCATCTAACTTGGAAAGAATTTGTTCTATGGATTAAAACACTCACAGTGATAAATCCATTGCGCAAAGCCAAGTAATCAGCCTCACCAACAGACCTATAAAATTGCCTGAGGAAGCATCCCTAGAATCCAGAAAAAGTAATATGAGGTATTTGGTGCATATAATATAGTAGATGATATCATTACATACTATTAAAAGGGGCTTACGATGTAGAAAAATAGCTTATTCCCTGTCCAGAAACTGGCATGACCTTTCACAAATGATGTTTCATGAGTAAGCCTGAATCTTGAAGGATCTGCACACAATAAAATACCCACACAAGCATGAGATGGAAGTATCTTAAAGGATCATTGTCCTGCGGCATTACTTGTAATGTCTCAAAAGATTCAATGATCTACAATTGGTATTTCAACAAACTCAAAAAATAACTCTCATTCCAAAGGATTTAAACACTGCAAAATGATGTTGATAGCTAGACTGAGAAGTTGTGATTTTGACACTGCGAAGGAAAACAAACGTGCATATTACTGGACAGAGGTAGGCTTTACCATGGGAAAACTCGTAGTTATGAGATGAAGTCTCCGCCTCCCATGCCTTCCAACCTCGAATCTGCACAAATTCAACCGACATCATCTTTCTGTAAAATCAAATCTATATGTCTAGTAACTCTGTAAGAAGTCATACTATTCATAAATCTATATGTCTAGCTTTGAAACATTGAAAATAAGCTCTAGTTAAGCCATTTGAATATCCTTCCTCAGTTAATAAGCACACAGAGAACGAAAAGTGACCTGAAGTACATAATAAATTAGAGAAAAAAGAAGCGGACCTTTAGTCTGCCCAGCAGCATGGTGACAGCACTGTACAAGACATGGAAGACTGCTAAGAAGAATATGAGGATGTGCAATTGGTGCAATGCATTTGTAGTTACAAGTGGTTCATATCCCTTACAAAAAATAGACAAAATAAGAAAAAATTTTAGAGTATTAAATGTATCAGAATTTTAGTAAGGAAACACAGGTAGGTACCTTGTTGCAATAATGGGAAGAATCAGCTGCTAAAAATCTACGTTGATAAGACAGAAGTTTCCTTCTGTGAGCCTCTTCACTGCTTGAAGAGTCACTGGTTCCGTCAAAAGGACATGGCAACATTGTGTCTGCTGCCTTTTCAGGTATGCATATCCTTAGTATGTAGGTCTGCCCAAATGTCAGCAATAATGATATGAACCCCAAAATCATCAGCTCTGCAACAACACAATTATATGACTTTTTCTTAAAGATTTATGTTAAAACATAAATAAACAATTACAAGGACATAGGAATCACTTGTTTTGCATAACATGTTTCTTCCCCCCATTTGGTTCTTCTGCTTTACTTACTCTTTTCCACTGTTCTTCCATGGAAACGGGTGCTTGAATAAAATCTTACCAGCTTTAACCTTTTCAAGAGCTTCAATCAGAGCCTTCTTATGTCTTTCTCCTAGCCACTGAAGAAACAAAAATGCCATGGGAAGAAGGAAGGCACAGAGTTCACAGTTTAGTCTCAATAAAGTCAGAAACTTATTATGCAGATGCTCGTAATTTTCATCCAATTAACCACACCATTTGGTAAAATCCCAATTATTATATCATCATTACAACAAAATCTGAAAGTAGAAAATAACAACAAAATGAAAAACTGACAGAGTTCGTGATCTCCTCAACTAATCACTCCCATCAGCCGTTATAAAATCCTAACACCCGCCATTAATGTCAAAAGTAAACTGAAAAAATAAAATGAAAGAAATAACAGAGTTCATCCACAATTCCGCATTAATGTTCAAACTGATGAATGACCAAAGCAACAGAAACATGCGTATATAAGGGAACTAATTTGTTGATTCTTCACCTTTGTAATTTGAGATTGAGATCAAATTGAATTCAAAAGAGAAGTTTCGTTTGGGACGTACCGTTCCCACTTTGTGAAGACTCATCTCGAGGGTTATGGAAATTAAGATGAACACAGTACAGACTGCAGCAACGGCCCACGTTGGTGTCTGATCCAATTTTCTTGTACCCTCACTTCCCTCATCACTCGCCGCCATAGCCATTCCTCCAAGCCAAACCCACAAAATCAAACACACGAGAAGCTCCATTCTCAGCTTCGACACCCACATTGTAAAGATACAAACTTGAAACCCGGGTTCTCTCAATCGCAGGTTTCAATGATCAATACAGAATCTGGTTTAATATATGGGTTTCTTCTTTAAGAGAGAATCTGCAGAGGCGCGTTGATTTAACAGATGGATGGCTTGATTTTGGAATCAGTGGGGACGATGGAAAGCTCGTGGTTGGTGGTGGGGGCTGAAGCTGTCGGAAGCTAGCCAGATTAGAAGGAAAAACAAACAGATTAAAAATTAGTAATAATATGCGTGTTTGATGATTTTCATATTTGGGCGCGTAACTGGCTTTCTGTCTGAACCCGGAAAGAGCGGGTCTCAAATTGATGTCGAAGTCAGCGCCGCGTAGACTAAAGTTCTCCAACATTTCATCTAATTAATCGATGTGACATACATTTTTTTAGTTAACGGAGCCACCTTCGTTTCAAAAATGTAAAGATTATGTTTTTAAAAACCATTAAAGTAATTAATGCTACATTTTTGTTACATTTTTTTAAGAAATTATTTACTGATTATTCTTTGCGCAAATTCAGGAGGAGAGATAGAGAGAAACTTCCTTCTGACTTCTGCCAAGTGTCAATATTATTAAGTAAATTAAAAAATTAGTTAAATTAGTTATTTTTAATAAATAAGTGTTATCTTTTTTAAAATATTTTTATTAATCATGTGTATTAGTTAAAATTATATTTGATAAATTATTTAATACATGTAACTATTATAATGACTACCTTAAAAAAATAGATAAATATTAGAAACAAAATAAATTAAAATTTTATATTCATGATCAAATTAAGTACCAAACTAATTCTTATATTAAGAAATGAAAACAATAACAAATGGGAGTTGATAGAACTTATAATTTAAAAAATTAAATCTAAAATTAGAAAAAAAATTATAATTTAAAAGTTAAAAATGTAAGCTTTAAAAATTGTATTGAATATGGAAAAGAAACTATATTCAATTGTAGGGCTCACATTTTGGCCAAAAAAAAAAATTGTAGCGCTCACATCTTCATTTGATTCAAATAAGTGTGTAATCACTTTACTATTCGGCCGGCATTAAATGTTTACTCTTTTTCTTTTGCCTCTTTCATGACTTTTTCTTGAGAAGATGCCAAATAAAGACATAGTAAATTGGCAAAATCTAAATCAGGATTGGTTGCCACATTTTAACAAGTTTTTAGTTTCTAACACTTGACTTGTAAATAATAATTTTTTTAAAATATTTGATTTGAGATTTTGTAATCTCTACGATTTTTTGGTCATTTTTCCTATGTTTTTTCGGTAATATTTTTTTTCCATAAGAACTATCTGTACTCTGTAGAGTATTGTGTCTGTTTTTTTAATGAAAAAAATACTCTTCTAATTTTAGTTATAAAATACAGAGAATATTTTTTATTAATACTATATCCAGTCCTAATTATAAGACCTCGTTTATAAGATCTCGTTTATAGTTTAGAGACCAGAAGTAGTAGTATAAATCACCTCATTAAATTTATTATCTGAACACATAGCTTTATTTTTAAGTATGTTGTTTTCTATACTGTTGTTTTATTAGAAATATATATATTAAATAAGAATGAAATTAAAATATTAATAAATTTTATTATAGGATGGATGAAATTTAAAATTTTTATTTAATTTCGTTATAACATGTTAAAAGTCGCTATAAATGGTATAGGAAGGGTATTAATTTTTCTTTCCCCAACCCTATTTCTTTTCCAATTTGAATTGAGGAGGACAAAATAAAGTCGCATCTTCACGTTGGAGTTGGACGTATCAAAAGCAATGCACGTGACTGTGAAAATAAATAATTTGTCTGCGTTGTTTTCGTCAAATATACTGTTTAGTCATTTAGTCTTGATTTAACAAGTTAAATGTAACAAACATCTTTTCTAAAAGTAAAATTAAAAAAGAAAAAAGCGTTTGAATTCTGAGGTGTGAACAAACTCACCGTCCTTCATGGGTTTATGTGCACAAATTGTCAAGTTCTATGAGTTGACTTAAGGACTTGTTCACATCATTCCTCTCTCAAGTCTGAAACAGTGAAAAATGAACCTTCCTCACTTCTACCGTTATCTATATGGTTGGGTCACGTTCAGTAGGAAACATTAAAAATTAGGGATAGGAATTAAAATTAGTATTAAAAAAAAAGTTTAGCACAAGAGATTGTTTAGTGTATGGCATTAATCTAACACATATATGTGTGATTGGAAAATATCATGAGAAAAGTAGTATTTCCCGGCCTCATTTTATGGGTTTGTCCAATCCTATGTAATAAGTAATTATTCATGTTAAATACTATTTTAATAATTTTTTTAATTACAATCACAATCACAATATCTTATTTTAATATTTCGTACTAAACGAATCATAAGACTTTGAAGAATACAGCAGCTTCAGTCTCATCGAGAAATCAGTTGAATTGGTAAATTTCCGGAATAACAGTTTAAATAACTAAGATTAAAAGCATACATCTAAATATCTGATTGTCTAAATATGCAACAAGTTTCAGCTTGGCGTCATTGACTCTCAACAAATTTAAATGATGACTTGTAATTAAATGCTAACAAAAAATGATTGTAATCATATTTATAATATAAAATTAAATAAAATAAATCTGCTGATATGTAGGTTGAAATATGTATAATCACGAAATTAAATTCAGTATAAAATTAGATATACCTTCATGGCAGCTTATGCTAATATTTCAACAAAAATTTTTAAATTATGATCTTTAATAAATTAATTTTTTAGGATCTAAGTGTTACTCTTACTAAATAATTTTTTCTATTATAAATTTATACTAACTCCGATCCTTAATATAAGAGTTTGTTTGATTTTTATTTTGATTTTAAATATAATACGCTAATTCACTTTATCTCTCAAGTTCATTAATTTTTTTCCTCAAGATAGTCCTTATAATAATGGTTGGTCTAGTCAATATTAGCAATGATATTTTAAGAAAAACAATACTTAGTTATTACAAATAACTAACTTAACTAATTTTCTTAATCTATTCAAATTAATCAATTAACTCTCATATTAAGCACTGGAGGTAGTATTTTATATCTGTAAATTTATACATTTAGTTATATTAAAATTGCATAAACAATTTGTCACGAAACAAATTATATAAACATTCTATTTATCGTTTTTAAAATTAGCATAATTTTCAATGTTTCATGGTTGTCCAGCATAAGAATGGATCATGGTGGTACTAGACCACTGTTTATAATTATTTAAAAAAGTCATACTAGTTACGCACAAATTTGAAGACGTGATGAGTTTATGGATGACCATGATCTCCGGATCTCTTCTGTTTTGGTCTTTTTTCCTACAACTAAATTATTGAGTCTGAGAATGCTAGTTTTTTTTTTTTTTTTGCCAATAAATTATTGAATGCCAGTTCCGTCTTATCTCAACCCTACTATTAATTAGTTATGCCAAGACGGCTATACATTCTAATCATTTGTGTTTTTTTTTTCCATGTAACGAACTAATCATTTGTTGAATCTGATAAATGCTTCGGTTTTGAAGGGTAGGACTGTGGAAATAACAAGTCGACAAAGATATTAAAATACCTTTAAAAATATTAAAAAAGAAATAAGGATAGGTGAATTTCATAATCTCAAATCAAATCTCAGGTAATATTTTGAAATTTTAAAATATTGTGTAGTCAATAGTTGTATAAAAGTAGTTACTAAATTTCTAACAATATTTAATGTATTTTTTTAATTTTTGAAACAAAAGTAGTCAGTAGCGAAATTAAAACAGTCAATAGCTAAAGAAGAGTAGTTAACAAAATTTTAAAGATGAAAGTAATCAATTGCAATATTAGAGTAGTCAGTAGCCAAACAAAAATAGTAATTAGAGTTTTAAAAACGAATGTAATCAATAGCTAAAAAATAGTAACCAATATATAAGAAAGAGTAGTCGCAAGCATCGGAGTTCCAGCGGCCGGAAGTGTTGAGGCGGCAATATTTAAAAAAATAATTAAAAAATAATAAAAGTATTTGTGTAATTCTACAAGCTTTAAAAATTCTAAAATGGTACCTAAAATCTGAATTGAGATATTGAAATTTACTTGCTCTTATTTATCTTTTAATATTTTTGAGAGTATTTTAGTATCTTTTTCTTTTTTTTTAATATTAAAAAAAATTTAAGACCTCGCTTTCCTCCTTTTCCTTGGCTGAGGGCGGTCCTTATCATGGAGCAATTTTTTTTTTTATCAAATATTATTTCAATAGTATTTAATGTCATAAAATAATTTTTAATGCACTTAGCATCAGAAAAAAAATTTTGTGATAGAACTGCTAAACTAGTTTTTTTTCGGGGGCAAATTTACTCTTAATATATTTTTTAATACAGTAGCAACAAATACCTTAAACTTAAGATATTAAATATTACTAAAAATATTTTAGATGTTAAATGAACTGAAGATTACTTCAGGATATTAAATGATGCTAAAAAACTTTCCTCCTTTTTCTTGCCCGTTGCCCATCCTCTACCCCAAAGCCACAGAGTTTTGGGATAACATGAGGATGATGAGCACTTTTTTCCTCCTAAAGAGTACCTAGGAGCTTAAAATATTTGTTTAGTAGCACCCCATATGTTAAAAATATCTTTTTAATACCACTTAGTGTCTAGCATCTCATGCCTAACAAATTGAGAAAAATTTTCAGTAGCACCTAATATTTAACGGTTGGCACTTTAAAATATTTTTTAGTAGCATCTAATATTATGAAATAATTTTTAATGCATCTAGGACCTAAAATACTTGTTTAGTAACATTTAGTATCTTAAATTTAGAGTATTCTAAAAAATACATTAAGAACAAAATTGCACTAAAAGTTAGTTTAGAACTTATATTAGAAAAATATTTTAGCATGCGCATTAAAAATTATCTTAAGATATTAAATACTTAAAAAAGCTGTTGGATGTTTTTTAAAATAAAAAACAAAAAGAAGAAAGTGTCCCCATGCCCATTTTACCCCAAAATGGCGTAGTTTTGGGGTAAAGCACGGTCCACTGCGTGAAAGGAAATTGAGGGACACCAAAGGCGGACAGCATTAGCACAGCTGTTAAGAATACTCTCCAATGTTGACTTCGTAAACTAGTAGGCCCCGGTCAGGTTACTTAGCGACGAAAGGGGGAGATTGCTTTGTTTGTTGGAGTCCAAAATTTACGTTTTATGAAACTAAATTATTATTTTAAAAATAATTTTACAGAAGTAAATATAAATTTATTTTGATTTGCAAAAAAAATACTTTTAGGATGGTGCCAACACCCCTTTAAAGATACTGTGCACAACTTTGTTTTAAAACACTTCCAGAGAAGATTATTAAGGCCTCTTTGGATGTCTTCTCAAAGCATGGTTTGGGGAAGAAGTCAGCCAAACAGGAAGGAAAAATGTGAAACTATGGTTTGGGGTACATGGTTTTGGTGGAAGTGGTTTGAAGTTGCTTATGGCATAAATTTTTCAGATGTTGGTATGGGTCCAACAGCATATGACAAAGCAGCTCCCATAATTGATGCCTCGCTCTTCATTCCACACCCGGTCCTTCACTATTTAATCTTATAATTTATAAATATACATACATATTAATTAATTATTAATTATATTATATTATATATTATTAATTATGTTAGTAAAAATTATTTTATTAACAATTTTATTTCTTCAAATCAAAATATATTATAAAATATATCCCTTATATAATTATCATATTAACTTATATCATTCTTAGTAATTTGCACATGTAAAAAGTACTTTCGGTAACAATTATTTAAACACTCTCACTTCTCAGAATCACTTTTGCACATGTAAAAGGTGTTAGAGTAGTACTACCACCAGGTTTTTTGTTGTAATTTTTTCCTTTTTGGTGAAAAAGTTTTGCTGTATTTTAGTGTCATGGCTTGGAATTTTTTTTTTTTTGAATTTGATTTGGTAAACAGAAGAGCAATTCACTAGGCATTTTATAATCATTTTCTCAAAGAAAACAAAAGGACAGGAAAAAAATTGGAATCAATGTCATGCTTCGTGTCTCACTGATAAAGAATAAACACTGAATAGATAATATTAGGGAAAAGGTACTAAAAATTTGATGAAGAAAAAAATGATAATAATTATTATTCATATTCATAATTTATAAATTTTGTGATTTTATATATATTTATTTATTATTTATACGAGAGATTAAAGAAAATATCAGGCTTATAACTTCCAAGATCCATTGCACGTGCCTGGGCTCATGATGCATATGGCCCATTTATCTTCAGAAGCAGAGCATTTTCTCAATAAGCAGCAGAAGAAACATATTAAGCAGGCCAGGACTTTATAACTCAAACGTTAAACGGTTTTTTTAAAATTTTTTGAGCGTCAAATTATGATAAAAGAAGCAGAAAATATAATCTCTTTATAAGCCCCTTTATCCATTAAACACGGGAAGATGCATTTATTTATAAAATTATTCATTGAACACACACACACACACACACACACTTTTTTATTTATGGGATAATCTAGGGAACATGCATGCATTTAGTGGTTATGCCCAAGAATATATGACACCTAGCGAACATATAAAAAGGGGAAAATTAATTATTTAATTAGGGACAATTAAAATGAAAATAGCTCAAATTATATTATCAATCCGGTGATTTCTTAAACTTCCTATGTTATCTCCATCACATTTACATATCACGTACTCCCCCTGTCTTTTAACTATAAGCAAATTTTTTGTTTCGCCTTTCGCCTTTTTTTTCATTAGCAAAAACCACCATTACTTTTCATTTGCATTAAACAAATCTTTTTAACCGTACCCCTTATTTAAAACCCTTTGCATTTTCATGACGCAAATTTATCTTCTCCTTAATCACAAAATTAGATATTAATAATAGGGATATTTAAGTAAACAAGTAATCTCAGCTATGATTATGAAAATTAACTTTTCTAACAGGTGCTGTTTTAGGTTTTAACAAAATTTGCGCGCTCTCTTCATTTCGAGCACCGTTATTTTATGAACAATTATATTTGTTTTTCTAATTTTACCCCTAACAAATAATTTATGCACAGTAAATTATCTGTTAAGGGTAAAAAAATTGATGCCCTAAGTTTGTTACATAAATTGAGGGAGAGAATATATAATAAAGTAAAATTGTACTAGCACTCAAATTATTTATTACCCTCTCCAGTAATTAACTGGGAGTTAAATTTGGTCATTATATGCAAGGTCTTAATTTATTCTATATTTTATATTTATTATTTTTTCTAAATTAATTTATATTATTTTTTTATCAGAATAATTTACGTTAATCTATAAATTGACATATAATCTAATATTATATAGAAATCTTTTAAGAAGATTATATCAAATTTGTCATAATTAACACATTTATTTATTTTAGTTTATTTAAATTAGTTAAATGGTTGTTATATTAAAATAGGAACCAAGGTTCATGAAGGTATCATTTCCGGTTTCAGCCCAAACGTGAGCAGACTATAAAGAGACCCGTCCGTGCAGGCTCAGGCGAAAAACACAAGGCACAAAAAATTAACAATACGAGGATCTCGATATCATCGAAGAAAGATCTCCGAATTTGATTTCATAGCCATTGCAGCAGAAACAACTTAACTATCGCCTTCTCATTCTACTTCTCAATCTGCCCCTGTCGCCTCAGGCTTCTGAGAAATGGTTACGTTGTCAAGCTCCGTGATGAACCCTCAATCTCAGCTGTTCTCAGGTTATTATACGTCTCGTCTACATTCTGCTTCATTGTATTCTCGATTAGTGTTTATAGCCATTGCTGAGACGGCACTATTTTTCCTCTGGTTATCACCTGGAAATTACTATTTCAGTATTTCTGTATCTAAAGGATTTTTCCTTAGTCGGACGTTGTTCGTCTGACCATATATGGATACGCCGATGCTTAATAATAAAATATGTAGTTCTAATGTGTCGGTGGGGCTCCAGAAGTTCTCTTACGCAAAGTGCTGTTAGGTGTTGTTTGATACATATCCAACTTATTTCAATTCAGTAAAATTTTCGAAGGCCATCGAAGATTAGTGGTAATTATGTGACCTAGGCAGCAGGCAATGGCAGGCTATGGACACAGACACTGCCATAAGCTTGATGGAAAGTATCCCAAGTATATTTTAAAATGTTGTTTCTGAATATCATGCATGCAGCTCCTATTTTGCTAGTCTGCTGCCGGATTTTACTCTAAATGAACGGCTAGCTAATGTCACTCGCTAGGTGCCATAAAAACACAGTGCCGGATGTATGTATTTCTTTTGGTTTCATGTTGAGTATTTGAGAATGTTGAAACACTGCTGAAACACATTTTACCATCGTTTGTCCTTTTCCCTCTTAGATTTTTGTGATAAGTTGAGATTGCCGATATGAATTGATGTTAGACACTCGTACTGATTAGTGACGTAGCTGGTGACAAGTTGATATATTTGATTGGTGGGTTTTAGTATCTTTGCTACTTCGCATGTGTATGATAACTTTAACGTTTTTAAATCTTTGAAAATTTCCCTTTACGACTTTATCCAGTTTCTGCGGCTTTCCAGGAAGCTTAATATTTGAACATTTTAATGTTAGGATCTGCATTGAAGCCAATGGATCAATGTACTCTGAAAAGCAACTGCATTAAAATCTCTCCAACTTTCTCGTCAAGGGGTAAAGCAAAGATGAAAACACGTTACATGCCACTCATAGTTCGTGCAGGGTACCGGTGAATTTTCTCTTTTATTTTACTGTTTCATTCAAGCCAAAAGAATGGGAAGTAGGCATTATCAACCTCCCTTAATAATTTGATTATTGACAATAGATATCAACTAACCTGATTATCCGCATTATAAATACCCTTGTACAAGCATATTGTTTTATCAGTTAGCGTTCTTATTATTTTTCTTTCTTTGTTTTTTTTTTAAATGTCCGTGCATGCATGCTGATACAGTGGGGATGATGGAAGATCAAACAATGCGGGTATTTTTGTTGGAGGCTTTGTATTGGGAGGACTAATTGTGGGAGCATTAGGTTGTGTGTATGCTCCTCAGGTATGCCTGTAGCACTAATTCCTCCCTTTTGGCCGTTTCTTTTTTGGTCTGGACCAGAAAGGAGGAGGAAAGGGGGAATCTCTTGGCTGTTTAGTTTTATTTTTCTAGGGGATCTTCGTTACCACATTACCTATAGTATTTGTCCTCAAATGATTTTTAAACATAACCAGTTTGTTGTTGCTCACCTTCGGCTTTAGGTATTAATGTCTGCACTTTCTTCAAAAAGAATTGTAGGATGATATTCCCTTGTCAATACCATGATTAGGACAGTTTTCACATTTTCTGCCATGAATTAGGGAACCAAACTTGGTTATAATTTTTTTCTGCATTAGTTTCTGGTTATTTGCTCCTTCTTTCTCTAAAGGTTTATGATTATAGATATTACTCTCAATAATTGTTCGGGTTTGGTTGGAGAAAACTTGTTTAGTAATATTGACGTAGTTGTATGGATTTTTGCTTAAAAAGAGAGATGCATGATGAATTTACTAGGGCAGTAACCCTTGAGGTTTGTGAACTGCAGCTTTTTGAAGGAACTTTTATCCATTGTTTCAATTTGAAAGCTTGCTTTTGATGACTTTAAGGAGAATATAGGGAATTTGAAAGCTTCTATGGTTTGAACTTACCAGATAAGCAAGGCCCTAGCTGGATCCAACAAAACTGATCTCATGAAGAAGCTTCCAAAATTTATGTATGATGAGGAGAAAGCTATGGAGGTAAGAAAATTTTGCAGTTATCTTTCTTTTGAAACCATTCTGATTGCCTGTCTATGAAAGGGGATATTATTTATTCACATTAGTATTTGTATAACTTATTGTACCCTATTCTCTATCCACGCTTTGTTCATTTCAATTTAATCTCATCACAGAATCCATAAAAAGTGGCCTTTGACACCCTTTGACATCTCTGACGTGATTGGGCTTGTTCTGTTTCAAAGTATGGAGACTAGTTCCATTATGTAATTAGTTTTTCAGGATATATATTTGAAATTAGGAATATTTATTTTTTGTTAATCTTGTGTATAAGCGGCATGGTATGCTAACTTTGCTTGGAAGTTTTTCTCCGAAGTCATATTTACTAATTAATTGAACTCTTTTTGTATTCTCCTGCTGTAACTTGCAGAAGACTCGCAAGGTACTAACTGAGAAGATAGCAAAGCTGAATTTGGCCATTGATGAGGTTTCTGGAAAACTGAAGGCAGATGAAGCTTTGAACTCGGAGGAAGTAGAAGCTTCCATGTAATACGTAAATCTTGGGACCCGACTATGCGATACTCGAAGCTTTCTTTTGGCACTCAGGAAGATAGTGTTAAGTGATCGGATTTTAAAATTTACCTGTGAACGTTGTTTCCCAAAAACAAAACAACAAAAAACCTTCCTTTATCTTTTGGTCTTAATAATGGTGTTTTAAAGATGGCTTTCGTTTTCGTTGTTGAGAACTATGAAGCATTTGCTGACATTCTGTGAAACTGGCATGAATTCTAGTTTAACTGGGTAAATCCTCAAGTGATGATAATATGCAATATCCTGAACTACATCGTAACTCTTCATAATTATCTGGGATTTTCACAAAACAGTTATTATCCATTCCGAGTTTTGACTAAGCTATTCGCAGTTGTTTTTAACATAGGATGCATCACCCCCTGGGGGAGAGGGACAGATTATCAAAAAAACAAAATCAGATGAGAATTAAGACTAATACTGCCAATCAATCGCAAAACCTGTAATTATAATTCCTTATTCGTAAAATATCAGCGTAGGCCCCAGTGTAAGCTTGACAGTGTTAAAATATGATCTATATTGGGTACAAGGTAATTGTATAACAAAAGCATAGGAGGTATCCCGTCCAATGCTGAGAATAATGCATAGGATAGAGTAAATCCCCTTCCCTCCAGTGACTGAGGAAAAATCTTGGAGCAAAAACGATGAGAAAAAAGATGCATGATTATTTACCCACACTGGAAAACAAGCCATACTCCTCTCTCACTCTACTTTCTCCCAGTTACTGCACAGCATCTGGATCAAATGATAATCTAGGGGAGCTCCATTTCACTAGGTCCCAGCATGCCTGTGCTGCTCTTGTAGTGACGTGGTTAGTGCTAAATATCAGCCACTAGAAGAAAATAACCATTACTTAGACCACTATATGAGAGTAAGCTGAAGTTTTGGCCGGTTAGGCTGTGGCTCCACAACCTCCATGTGAATTGCAACTGCCTGCAGAATGCTGTACGAAATGCTACCATCCATCTTTCTAATCTTCTGCTGTTGCTCGTCTACATACCATTCCCCACTCCCCTTTTCAGCTCTTGGCATCAGATACACAGGCCCTTCAATGCCATATCTGCTCAGGCAGAAGGTATAAGCAATAATGACAAACTGATCAAGTATCGAGACGGACTATTGTTCTGCATTGTTAATTCACACGGGAGAATTGCTATAAAATCCCAACTAATGAACATAATTATCAAAAAGTCCTAATAATAATAGAACAGCCTGTAATGACAAGTCTTTTCATTTGTCACTGGGATTTTTTGGTAGTTATTTTCTTTTTTTGGGACCTCAGTAATTCTCCCACTTGATGACATTCCTGAAATTACTGGCAGTCAAATTAATTTAGATCTCCTGATATGTTTGTCTTCCATAAACTATCATTTGCTTTCCTCTGGGTGGTATAGCAAAGCAAATGGAAAACAAAAGAAACGAGGCAAGAGATTTTACTTGGGAACAAAAACAAAAAATCCGTTGGATCTTATTTTGACTATTCTAGCCTCCGTATCAGTTGGCCTGCACAGACAAATACAAGTTCCAAAATAAGCTGCAAATAAATAAAAAGCAGTGATGGGGCAAGAGCATGGGATGCCATGTACCTGTTTCGGAAATAAATGAGTGTGTGGAGCTCTACAGAGGCCCGGCCAGCCATTTGAGCATTCCTATGCCGATAATTTAGATCTAAGGGACACAGCCATGAAGATGAAATTAGACCAACCTTCATTATTAAAAATATTTATCCACGAGAGCATTTTTATTGAGAAGATGAGAGAATTAAAGTGTAAGATGATCAAGTTCTAATAAGACCAAGAAAGAATTCAACTTTCGAGAATGCAAAAATAGTTGGCAAGCTTATATTGAACCGTGGGTTCAAACAAAAAATGTTTTAAAATGCTGTAGATTCCATACTATCTGAAATACTAGTGAGCTGGAGCCTGTCTTGAAATATTGAAGGTAGCTTGGATATTCCTAAAGATGCAGCAAGTAGCCTGTGAACAACGACATCTGCAAGAAAAGGACGTTTCATCACCTCCGGAAGCATTGCATAAAATGCATCAAGACACCACCAAATTACAGAAACTATAGCTTACCTGCATATCTTCTAATAGGTGAGGTGAAATGAGTATATAGAGGTGCTGCAAGCCCATAATGATGATATTCTGGAGGGCTTAGATCACCGCTACAAAAATAAACCGCCTAAAAAGGAAAGGGGGTATTTTATTTCTACACTTGAAACATACTCCTTTGATCTTTAATATAAAACCTAATTAATTAATTTGAGTAGATTAAGAATGTTAGTTAAATTAGTTAATATGATATGGATTTTTTTGAAAACACCCTAAGCATCTTCCTTAATTCTCTCCCTTCTTCTCCTACTTGATTATTGTTGGAGGAATATCAATAGAGTTAATTTGGTAAAAAATTGATAAATAAAATACATCTTATATATATATATATAAATTCCCTAATTAGCTTCTATATTAAGAACCAGAGGAGTACATCTGAATTCAGTTGTTCAGTGTTAGCAAACTACTTACCTGAGTCATGCATCTAGTTGCCAATATGCGGATTAATTTATTGAAATATGGATCATCACCCTGGATAAAGTATTTCCTATTAGTGGGAGAACAGATCGAAGATTGAAGTAATATGCCTTGACTTTTTTCCTCTACTGATGCAAGAACAAGATTTACCACAGCATGGTCAAGAGAATCAGCCAATGCTTTTGATGATGAGACATCCAAGTGGAGACCAACTGCAGCAGCAGTCCGCAGCAAAGGTTCAAGCATCTCTCTTGTTGGAGTCGGATGACGCCTACATAGGAACCAATAACAATGGGGTATTCATTGATCCCAGTCACAAAACTATCTTGCCGCATGTAGATTTTTTTTTGGCTGCTTCTAGCATGTATATTCAGTCAAGGCTTCTAGTCAACAATGTCAGAAACTTAGTAGAAATATTACTTCTCAACAACATAAATGTTCATGGTGAGCAATTTTTAAACACTGAGGAAGTACCGTTCACCAATTAATATGATCCCTTATGCCAGATGAAACTATCCTTTTCATGTTGACAAATATTCAATTCTTAATTTCAATAGAAAGTATTGGGTGAATAAGTGAACTTGAGAAGACTACATCCTCATCTTTAAGGGTGTGTTTGGTATGAGGGATTCGGAGGGGAGGGGAGCGGATGGGAGGGGAGGGATTTTAATTATTTCTCCTTGTTTGGCAACACACAAATTTTAGGAGGGGAGGGAAAATTTTTTAAAATTTCCCCTCCCCTCCCCTCCTCAACCTCCTCCAAAATTGGGAGGATTTGGAGGGAAAGGGCAATATTTTGTCATATTATAACTATTATGCCTATATTTTGTCATGTTGTGACCATTATGTCTATATTTTATCATGTTGTGACCATTATGCCCACACCCTAAATAAAATAAGAGCAAAATTATCCATATTAAAATATTTTTCCCTCCCCTCCCCTCTTTTTTTGTAAATCCAAACAAGATAATATTAAAATCCTTCCACTCCCCTCCCCTCCCCTTCCTTCCATTAAAATCCCTCCCCTCCCCTTCCTCTCATTGAGCCAAACATACCCTAAGGCTGTGCTTTGTCAGGGAAAGACAATCAGTTTCGATCAAAGAAAAGTCACAAATTGAACAAATTCTGTTAACTAAGACAATTAAAAAAAAAAAAAAACTACATATTTTCTTTTCAATTTATAATAGTCAGTTCACCAACTAGATTCTTAATATGAAGAGAGAGAGAGAGAGAGAGAGAGAGGGAGAGAAATATCTAGCAAAAATGGAAGCAAGTTATGTGCCATATGAACCAGTAGGCCCATTTGCAGAAGGAAGAAATGCAGCTTGTTCCCAAAAGAAAGCATCACATAAAGCAATGATGTCAAAGAGGTATTAGAAACCAACCTTAACAATGAGCACGAAGGAAAACTCTTAAGAATTTGTTCTGCAACAGAAACGTTAGCTGCAAGCATAAACTCCTCCACCATTTGGTTTGCTTCCCGAATTTGGTACATACCTGAAAATTAATTAAACAAACTGAATAGGATTCTTCCATTAAAAAAAAAAAAAAATAGAAAGCTTTTCCACCCTCTCTTTTCACAAGAGAAAAAAATCGGCCTCACTCTCAACCCCACAAATAGCTAAACATTTGGACCATAGCCACAAATATAGATACTCTGAAGAAAACAAGATTAACAAGTCAATATGGAGTGATGATCCCCCATATTTCATCCTTGCAACTTTCTCGTGAAGATTCAAAAGACAGATACACGTGTGAAGCCAACATTTTAAAAAGTAGCCTCTAACAGTCTAACGTTGGAGAGCGCTTCCAACATAAGCAGCTTTGTATCCATCTCTCTTCATCTTCACAAGAAAGTTCCAAGAAGGAAACTCAAGAGGATCATCATCAGTCAACATTTTGCAATTTCAGCAACCCATACTTACAAAGGACACACTAATTACAGAGACCAAACTTTCAAAGACAAGTATAGACAACCACAACTTTGAAGTGCAAAGTCTTTAACAAGTGACTATGAGGATAGATTCAACAGATTGTAGAGGAGTTCAAGGTTCAGCTTTAGCATCAGTCTGAGCTATGGAGTTCAGCGTTCATTTGATGACTCTAAAAACTAAAAATCATTGGTGCTAATCATATAACACAGCTTGCTAATAATATCTTTAATCCCCTAAATGTTATAAATAACACCCAGCTCAAGTCAGACTATTCAGCTTTTTTAATTTCTGTAATCCCAAAGTAGTAAAATAGTTGTAGATATCCAATACAACAGCAGTGTTCAGATGAGCAGGAAACTTGGGCCAGCTGGCTTAGATTTCTCTTGTTCAGCTCTTGGGAACAATAAGGAACATAAAAATCCACTGCCGGTTCAGTGCAGTTTTAGCAGTTTTGAAGACTATGATCATATAATGGAGCAGAGAGGATTTAGCCATAAGCATTTTCCGTCTGATTTTTAGTAGGAATAAGTTTTTAAGCCCTTGCATCTCAATTTCAGTAAGTTTTTCCCTCCTCTTTTCCTCTAACTTTGTTTTTGAAAGGGCGGTTCACTTGATTTTTTACCTCATTTTTGGGACTGATAAGGGGTTCCATTTTGGAAAATACAAAACCAAGTACTAATTCTGTTATTTCCATTTTATACTCAAATGCCCTTTTTCTGTTTGACAAGTCCTTGTGAAAGTTCTGTAAGATAGTTACAGGTTCCTATCACATATCTATCTGAAAACACA